AAGTCCATAGTTCTGTTCTACTCATAACAATTCTGGTCTGAGTCTGTGTATATCTACAATAGTGAAACATGCACCACCAGCCATGAGAACCACTCGTCAAAGAAGTGTGCCCTCTCTTTCATGGTTCAGCATCAGACCTTCCATTTGCTTATACCTGGGGAAGAATACAGACAAGAAAAAAAAGCTGCTGAGAGAAAGCCCTGTGTTTTCTAAGTGTCATTTTGAATTAAATTGCCATTACTTTAGGACATCAGGATATGACCCTAAGCTGCTCATATTATCCGAAATCCTTAGTTTGTAATTTTTGGTTTCTCTAGATGTCAGGGACAGAAGCACAAAAAAAAAAAAAATTCCCAAGTGTTGCATTCTTAATCCCGAGCCCTTTTGAAAATCAAGGATTAATGCCCCTGGCAGAGCAAGTCCTTCTGAAACCACACAGCGTTCTGTGGCTGGTGTGGACAGAGTCGGATGCCAGGTTTTCTAGAAAAAGATTGGTTACCAAACTGCACAAGGGACTGAGATATTTGTAATTGCTTTGTGAGTTTCAGTTGGCTGGATCTCTAAATGGTGATGATGAGGTTTGTGGGGCAGAAAAGAAGGGGCTGAACTCATATAAGAACCACACAAATTGTCTGGAAACAGATCCATGTCCAGTAATTTTTCAAGCTCTTTATGAGTTTATATTATCTTATCACTCCTCATGGCAGGTGCAACCAAAACGGTGTGTGTTCTGTAAAATGGAAGTGATAATGATCAGCAGTGAAGAACAGTTCTAATGGGGGATGAGTCATAAAAGACAGAGCGCATGGGCAGATACCAAATTTATTTAAATTAGGAGTGGCTGTGAGGCTTGGAATTACTGTGATTGACTGATCGATTGATTGATTTGGTTACTTAGTGAAGTAACTCACACCTTCCCCACCCTCCCAGGTCACTTTCTGACTATAAGTGGAGGAGCTGGGGTTCTCAGCTGTGCTATGCCTGGAGTCAGGCCTGCTCTTAACACCCTGGGCTGGACAGCCTCTCGCTTAACCTCCTTTGGGTCTAGGCACCATTTATAGGAGGTAAAATGTGGTTCTGTTTCCTGGGAGGAACATTGTATTCATACTTATTCATATAGAAGTTCAGCAGAAAACAAATCTCTGGGAAGGGAGAGTTAAAAAAAGAAAAAGGCAGTCAGAATGTGGAAGAGCATGTGGGTAAGATCTGCAGTGGGGGTTAGGGCTCATTCTTGGGACAGAATTAGAGGTAGGAATGGGGTAGAAGGGTGGGACTGGGGACAGTATCACCCAAACCACAGGGACTTGTCTAGAGACTTGTCTAGTATTACGGGAGGACAGAGGAAGTGGAGAAGAAAACAGTAAATATTTTTTCAACCTCAGAGTCTACTCTCCTCCTGAAAAAAAAAATGTACATTATTTCTTATGGCCCATACAAATTAAGATGTCTCCCTTAGAACTGAGTTAAAGATTCCACTAATATCATGTTAAGGCATGTTTTGGTTTCTGTTAGAGTTATGCATAGTTTGCATATATTTGCTCCCTGGCCTTTTTGAACTTTATTGCCTGGCCTTCAGTTCTGGAGATGAGCTCACTAGATTTTCATTAACTTAACCAATTTTCACGCACTACTAGGGACCAAAGCCCTTACAAGGGTCATTCTGCAAGATCCTTACAGTCAAGGCATTAACAGTTAATTTCCAATTGAATACACTTTATTATTTTATTGAAACATAGTTGATTTTACTTATTTGTGAGGTGCAGTGTTGAATATCAATACCTGTGTGCAATATGTGATGCTCAGATCACGATAATTAGTATATTCATCCTTATACAATGTAATCATTTTTTGTGGTCCTTCACCAATTTTGGGGCAGCTGGCCAATACAGGGATCCAAACCCATGACCTTGGTGTTATAAGGCTGTGCTCTAACCAACTGAGCTAACTGGCAAGCCCTGAATATAGTTTAGAAGTGTATTCATAACCTCTTTTTCATTATCACCCCCCTAAACAGTTTTTCAGGCTTTTTTTTTCTCCTAATTGTCCTTCTCCCACAAACATATTCTATATATTTGGGGCTTTTTCTCCTAATTGCCCTTCTCCATGAAGATATACTGTATATTTGCTTATGAAATTGTGTCCTTTTGGAGGGCCATAAACCACTGTCATATCTAAGATTCTCCCCTAGCTCAAACCAATTTTTGCTGTGTTGGGGGAAATACTCTCCCCATAGAGAATAGGTTCTTTAGAGCTATCTAATGAAGAGTGTGGTCTTTCCAAAACAGTGTTTGCCTCCTACAATTGCCTTCTTTATTT